GGAAAATTAATAAAGTAATAAATAAATTACCAGAGAACTGTTGCACATTGCTGTAAGATTATTGCAACTATCGTCAATATTCATATTACTACTCATATTATTATTATTATTATTATTACTATTATTATTATTATTGTTATTATTATTATTATTACTGTTGTTAACAACCATGTTATTGAGGATGTTGCTACCATTATTACTGTTGTTGTTGTTGTTGATGATGACGTTGTTGTTTAATAAATTGTTGTTGTTGTTATTATTATTTAGTGAATTATTATTGTTGTTATTATTTAATAAATTATTATTGTTGCTGTTGTTATTTAGTAAAATATTATTATTATTGTTGTTGTTGTTATTATTTAGGTTTGAAGTGGGTGACAGTTCAAAGTGATCGTTCAGATGATTTTCCTGTGTGTCCAAGTTGTCGAAGTTCAAATCGAACGAGAAGTCAATTTCTTCTGGAAGAGTGTCTATGGCTGTCGCGATGGTCGGCTGAACAGGTTGTACAGGGGGGTGAACAGGAGGATGAACAGAGGGGTGAACCGTGGGATAGCCCAACTTTTGTGATGTCAGACATCCATCTACGTACGATGTTGATGTTTTAGACGATGGAATTGGAGACGATGATGACGATGACGATGATGAAAAGAAGGATGCTGTAGCCATTGGAACGGAAGATGATGACGACAATGATAATGATGACGATGATAACGACGATGATGACGATGATGACGACATTGATGGTGTTATTGAGGATAGCGATGATGAACTGTTTTTCAGTTGAGGTTTATTCTTGGAACGAGATGAACCGATGTTGCTAGATTCCACAAAGCCGTTCATGTTGTTGTTTGAGTTATTGTTGTTGTTGTTGATGTTATTGTTGTTGATGTTGTTGCTTGAGGTAATAATGTTATTATTTATGTTGTTTAAATTGTTGTTATTACTGTTGTTGTTGTGATTGTTGTTTAGATTATTAGCGTGGCTGTTACTGGCGCTGTTGTTGTTAATATTATTGTTGACGTTGTTGTTGTTGCTACTGACATCTATGGGAGTCCTGGAAGCAAGTGGGTTGTCGGGATTGTTGAGTTGGGATGGGGATTGAAACTGTTCGGGGGAGGTGTGTGAGGTGCAGTGGTCGGTGGGAGTGCGGGGGTGGAAGGACTGCCCGTCCTGTGGAGTGCAAACCGTGTTCATCTGACTGCTTGCTGGCGTCGGTGGGAACGAAAGATGATCGGATGAGTTGTTGTTGTTGATGTTGTTGTTGCTGTTGTTGTTGATGCTATTGTTGTTGTTGTTGTTGATGATGTTATTGTTGTTGTTCATCGAGACGCCATTCAGTGAGCCGTTGTTTAATGAATTGGTGGATACATTATTATTATTGTTGTTATTATTATTGTTATTGTTGTTAGTATTACTAGAATTGTTGCTGTTGTTTATGAGATTAGGCTTGTTAGAATCATCAGAGAGAATGCTGTTACTCAATTGGGAAAGACAGCCAAGGTAATCTGGTGGAGCTGCCAACATGTTGTTACTCTTGCTGCTGTTGACTAAGTTGTTGCTGTTGTTG